GGGTGAAAGCCAGGTATCCTAGCCACTAGACCATATCGGATAGTTACTTAAACTACTGCAGAAATGTAGATCTTTCGGATGACACGATGACCTATTTATACTAGTTAAAATGCAAAAGAATTCCGATACCGGGAATCGAACCCGAGCCTCCTGGGTGAGAGCCAGGTATCCTAGCCACTAGACCATNNNACCTAAAATTTTATGCACAAATATAGCCGCTAGATGATTAGGTAAAACATTATTTTAGAAAAATGTAGTGATGGCATTGAAAGTATACCAATCACTAGTATCTTCAGTTTACTAGAGTAAAAGTTGACATATTGAGGATATAAAGAAAATGTCCTTGTTTTCTTGATTTGCCTGTACTGTATTTAAATATGGACAATTATTTTTTACTGACAAATTTAATATTGACCGCAGTCTTTCTATGCAATAAATCTGTTTTTCATGAACTTACTAATTAACTATTAACTATATACAAATAAAATACGCACATAAAGTTAAATTTAATCTTATGGTTAAAATTTAAGTCTATATATTTTAAATTTTTTTTTAATGAAGTACTAAATATCATATAAGTTAACTAGCTTTGCAAATGTTGGAGATTTTTTTTAACTTTAATATTATGCATGTTGATCATTCTTATATTATCAATAAAAAACTGATTGGAAACATAAAAATGTCCGCATTTCAAATGGAAATATTTATATAATATATTAATAAAAAATATATGATTATTATTATTAGGGTTCTGAGCCTTTCGGTAAATTGGTTCTGGTAGAAATATACATTCGATATTCATACATGTACATTTTTTCTGGTCGCAGATGAATCCTATGCATACTGTCCCTACGATCGATGATAACGGATTTTATCTTTGGGAAAGGTAGTTATAAAGCATGCAAAGCCGAGGGATCACTCGGACAGCGGAATTTCCATATTTACCATTTTTTTCTCTTCAGTCGGGCTATAATGCAGTACCTCGTTGATCAATATGGAAAAGATGACAGCCTCTCCCCGAGCGTTCCCAAACTCGCAGCCATCGTCAACCAGCAATTGTATTTCGACGCTTGCACTCTAAACGCAAGACTTTACGAATACATGGTACCAACTGAATCCAAATTTATTTAAAATAAACGCATTAATTATGGTTTGATAATAGTTGCCCATAATGATGCGTTCTGCAAAACCGAATATGGAAGTACATGCTAAGGTGGAGGAAGCCCTTGGAGTGTTCGATACAATATTGAGTAAAAATAAATGGGCTGCAGGGGATAACTTAACCATAGCTGATTTTGCTCTAATGTCGACGGTTTCTACTTTAGAGGTAACGCATATTAATATATTAATAGTAATTACCTAATACAATGTTTGAAGGCAATTATGTTCGATATCAAGAAATATCCAAACGTCGAAAACTGGCTCAATTCTTGCAAGAGAGATGTCACGCATTTCGAGGAGACAATACAGAAGGGATCTGACTGGATTCACGACTATTATTTAAACAAAACCAAGGACTATTAGAGATATATTAAATAGTTATGTTAGTACAAATTAATTAGTAAATGCATTCAAAAATACAAACGTGTCATGTGTAATAAATCTTTCCACATTATTAAATATAGAAAACAAACAATATTATCCAAAACTATATTAAATAATTTGAGAACTACAAATAATCTTGAAATCCAATCTTGTTCATTGGAATGCAAAGGCATATCGTTGATGATTGCATACTACAAAATTCTATTCACATTCCGCAGTTTTCGAGTTTTATCTTGTGTTACACTCAAACCACAAAAATCATGTAGTTTTATCTTTTGTTATGTCATCAATCAAAAAAATATCTGCACTTGCGTATAGTATAACTAACAAAATTAATATAAGTACTAAACAAAAAATATTACAATTGGAAGATTTTTTTTAAATCAACGTCCAATAAAAATACCTGCTTTTAATAAAAAAAATACAGTATATTAAAAAAAAATTGATATAAATCCTCGTTTAACGCTTCCTCAATTACCGCTAATACGATGTAACGTGGCCAAAAAAAACCTCTACATTTACTATAAGTTAATGGGACTAATTTTAACGCTGTTTCGCTTATAAATTGTTGTCTTAAATAGTGAATTTTCATTTTACAATATTATTCAATATACCAAAGAATTATTCAATAAATTAGTGTTTTTATTTATTAGTAAAATTTGTCTTAGAAAGCAACAAATAAATTTAAATCTCTTACCTTCAGTTCAAATAAAACTTCAATAAATGTAATATTTTATAGTATATAAATGTGACTATTATTTTTCAAGCATTGATTATAAAATGTGTAAATGGTTTGCAAAATAATTTTTGAATTTAAGATTGTTTCTACAAATATTCTTAGGTTGTTTTAAAATTTAAATTGTTTCGTATTTTCCCATTCTTATACTGGTTTCTAATTGGTGCAACCAATTTGTTTTTTATTTTTTCTCTCAACAAAACCTGATTTATTTAAAAGAAATCTATGTTAGATGAGTTACAGATGCAAACTACAAATTCAAGACATATTTGTATCAAAGATTATCCAGCAGATGGCACTGCGTCAGTCTTCATGAACTTATTAATGTGAAACTACAAATATCAAATTTATAAATATCGAGATGTATAAATTTAAAGTTAATGTTAAGTTAAATAATTTCTTTGAATTAACTCTATGAGGGAAAACATATAACTTAAGTTTTATATCAAAAGATGGTGCTTAAAGAAAGTTTTTTAAATTCAATAAATCTTTGGTTTGCCAGTAAACTGAGAGTTTTGCCGCATTGAAAATAATATAATTCTCAAATTAGATGGTATATTCATAATTATTTTGAAATTGAATATTTTCTTGGGAAATGCAATTAACTCAAAATTTATTGAATTTTGTCTTATCATTATTATTTTCATCACATCACATTTATTAAATTTATTTTACTTTATTCAAGATTATATGAAAATTATTAAGAAGTATTTACATTCCAAAATGTACCTACACAAAATTTACTCTGTGACATCAACATTTTTATGAATGTTAATATTAACATACACATATACAATATTTGATTCTTCGATTCATCAATAATGATACAATATCTAGGACAAAACATAAATTATAAATCATAATTAGTGTAATTAATGAGAATCAATATGTATCAATACGTACATGGCAAAAGCAAAAAAAAGAAATCACTTATTAACCTTGAATCGTATTGCAAATTTAAAGAATTCAGAAAGTTTTCCTAAAAC